GGGGGGGGGGGGGGGGGGGGGGGGGGGGGGGGGGGGGGGGTGGGAAGAAGATGTAAACAGCATATTAAACACATGTTTTTTGATCTACGGCAGCTTTGAAGGGGATTTTTGTACTGAAAAGATCATTTTTTTTTTTTAAAAAAAAGAATAGTCAAGTACTGAACAAGCCTCAAATGAGACTGTTACTAAAAATTTCTGGAGGTACCTTTTATCAAATCCAGACAGAAAATTCTGCTCTTTTACAGAGAATCGACTCTAAACCCCAAACAGACCGTATTTACGTCTTTGAATATAGCACTTTCGTTACCAAAACATAAAACACCAGTTGGTTTAATAAAGAGTAAAATTTTTGATAAGCAAAATTCAAGTCAAATTCACGTGTCTTTCAAGTCAATATAAAGAAAACTGCTAGACCTGCAAACATAGAAAACAAGCTAGTATAAGCCAAGGGTCGATATGTAAGATCTGAAGTAAAGATAGCCAGCTACTTCGAGGTCTCTGGTGGCATTTCATGAGTTCAAAAGTCATAATAATTTGGATTTGTGTAATACATGTTCAATAATTATTGAACATGTATTACACAAATCTAAGCCGCGGGACTTATTTTACGGTATTTGCAAAGAGCAGCAAATTTGTGCAAATGATAGAACAAGCTCTACCAGTCAGTAAATTGAAGCAAGAGAGTTAAGATAAATCCCTTTTAATGGACAATTAACATGTACTTCTATTTGAAGACCTACGTGCAAGTGATAAGGGATTTGCCGTAACATATTATGCCAAGAGAGAATGATCTAAGTTCATTCTCTCTTGATTATGCATGCAACCAACAATAGGCCCAAAATATAGGCCACACCCACCAATGACAAAAACCTTATTTACCTTTAAAAATAAAAAAAAAATTACCAGAAAGCAACATTTTTATAATAACCTTCTCAGCCTAGCTTGGAAAAACTTAAGCTCTTATACGCAGGTTTTTACTGTAAACGCCGGGATCGAGAAAATACGTTATACTCAATCAGAATGCGAGAAAGCCTTAGTTTAAGGTGGGTAAGAAAAAGATTTTTACGGAAATTTTCCGGTCAATGTAACATGGCTATTTTTTTATTTTTTTATTTTTTGTCTTGCGCCCTTGACTTAATTGTACTCATTTTGGTATGGTTTAAAAGATCTCTTCACTCTGCACAAGTTAGCGGACAAAACCTGATGACATTACAAGTGGAAGAAGCGATGTGGATCCGCACCAGCGATTACGGGCGGCTCCTGGGCAAATGGGTTAAACGAAAGCAAAAAACGTTATTTTGTGTGAAGTTTTTGAGACCATATGGACCGCGTGCGTACTTGCCAATTAACTCTCTAGGTCCTGAGTTTTAGTGCCATAATAATAGTAACAACAATAATGATGGTGGTGATGATAATGGTAGTGGCACCGTGTTGTCCTCTGAGTTTGTTTGGTTTTATGAAACACTACCATAGCGCTTATTCATGGCAATAAACACTAAAATCTTGTTATATCTCTGGACATACCATCACAGGGTATGAAATCGGACTTCTTCGTTACCGGTGCTACTAGTAAAATCTTAAAAATGTTTTTCTCATACAATCACCTTGCGACTGAAGGACACCTTACTTTTATGGGCAATTAACCCGATAATACGGATAGCAGCTAAATTTGAATTCAAATGCAATTAAAGTTAGTATCAAAATTACAGAAAATGTATGGAAAATTTGAGGTTTTCTAAAAACTGATCACGGAATTCTTAGTTTGCACTCCAGATTTAGTGTATTGTTTCTTTGAACTCGTAAGTTACTCTTTTCAAAGAGAAATCATCAAATTCATAAATTAAAAAAGAATTAGCTGGCTTTGAATTCTAATACAAATCTCAATTTCCCACCATCTTGCCCTGATTACCCAGTGGTGACGGTTGTAGTAGTTAGTAAAATGGTATCTCTGGAGCACTTTAGTACCCCCCTTCAAACGGAATTAATGGGAAAAATGACGGAAAATGCTAATAATAAAATCCCAGAATATGCAAGGGAGTATAAAAAAGAATATCTTTTCATAAGAGGATTAAATAAGGAATTTGGTCAATTAAAAAATAAAATGGATAAAATGGATATAATTGATAATGATTTTTTTGAAAGTCCTAAAATTATTAGAATTAAGGATATTATGAAAAGATTTCTCAGGGCGCAAGAAAAAGGTAGACTTAAGGATATTAGTGATTTTGTGATTTATGATTATGATGTTGTTGATAAAATAATTGATAAAAATTTTAATAGATTTTTAAAATTATATAAAATGCGATGGGATTATTTTAATGATAGCGATTATGAAGATAATGAAAATAATGGTTATGATGGTAAAAATGATTATCCTGGTTTTAAAGAATTTTATGATAATTATGAATTATTTTTTAGTCAAATAAATTACAAATCTAGTGATTGTGAATGTGGATTTGTTTGTGAAAGTGGTTGTGAATTTGGTTATTGTGAATGTGAATGTGATTGTTATTCTGATTTTGAAGATTATGAATTTATAATACCACATAGTGATGATAGTGATTATGAAGATGGTTTCTAAACTTATAACATTTTTGTTACAAGTTTTTTAAATTAATATAACCAACTAATAAAAATGGAACCAAGATCAAGAGAAACTACTCCTACAAAAGAGGATTTGGAATTTATAGTTGATGATGGTTATAGACATGATGAGGATCCAGATTATGTTCCAAACGAAAAATATGTTGTTACAGGATCAGAGTTTAAGAGATTAACCAGAAATGCTAAAAAACTTGGTGCAGAAACACTTGATTATTCAACCCGAAAAAATAACAAATATATGGCCACACTTCCAGGTGGAAAGAAAGTTCACTTTGGGTCACCAAAATATCCAGACTACACTATTCACAAAGATAAAGAAAGAAGAGATAAATATCTTTCACGTGCTACAAAGATTAAAAACAAACAGGGAGAATTAACTTATACTAATCCTGAATCAAGTAACTATTGGAGTGTGCATCTTCTCTGGCCTAAAAAATAAAATTGATTTATGAGTTAAAGATTAACTAAATATTAATAAAATGCAGTTGTCAAGTTACGAAAATATTACCAAAGAGAATATTATCTTTAATGAAGCCAAAGAGTACAAAGTCAAAGATAGCAAGATTAAATACAAACGTATTCCAATTGAAGTCAAATACCCAAATGGAAAGAAAGGACCACTTGTAGTTGAATCTCCAGTTCTTTTTAGTTTTGGTGTTAATGAAAAGAAAAATCAAGAAACAGTTAAGTTAGTTGGTTATAGTATTCCAGTATGTCTTTGGGCTAAAGATAGTGAACCTAATAATAAAGAAAAAGCATTTTTTGATGTTATTAATAATGTAACAACTCTATCTCAGCAACATTTAGAGAATGAATATGGACCAGATCTAGCATCATCTCTATCTTCACCATTTTACTATAAACAAATAGAATANAAACGTATTCCAATTGAAGTCAAATACCCAAATGGAAAGAAAGGACCACTTGTAGTTGAATCTCCAGTTCTTTTCAGTTTTGGTGTTAATGAAAAGAAAAATCAAGAAACAAACAAGTTAGTTGGTTATAGTATTCCAGTATGTCTTTGGGCTAAAGATAGTGAACCAAATAATAAAGAAAAAGCATTTTTTGATGTTATTAATAATGTAACAACTCTATCTCAGCAACATTTAGAGAATGAATATGGACCAGATCTAGCATCATCTCTATCTTCACCATTTTACTATAAACAAATAGAATATACAGATAAGAAAGGAAAAAAGAGAACAAAAGTTGATGAATCATCAGCGCCAGTTCTTTACGCAAAACTTATTTACTCAGAAAAATCAAGAAAAATATTATCTTTGTTTAAGGGAAAAGGGGGAAGGGATTTAAATCCTTTTAAATATATTAATCAGTACTGCAATGTTAAATTAGCATTGATAATTGAGGGAATTTTTATAAGTAAGACTGTAACATCATTACAAATAAAAGTACACGAGTGTTATGTTAAAGAATTAGAACCTAGAAAGAGTTTACTTACAATTGACGAAAAAAGTAGTGATAGTGATATTGATAGTGATAGTGATAGTGAAGGGATAACTGATCAAGTAGTTGATGAGTTACTTTTATCTGATGAAGAAAATAAGTAAATAACTATTTTTTTAATACAAATTTTGTATTAAAAATCAACCAAATCCTTTAAACTTACCCATGAGTTAAATTTATCAGGATATCCACTCCATTTTACTAATGCCATTTTTTTCTTATTATCCCTCCTAATAATCTTTTCTATTCTAAATGTTTGTTGTTTTGCTTTCTGTAATCAACAATGCTATATGTAATAGGTTTTGTTGGTAAAAGTTTATCAATTACAAATATTTCCTCTGTCCAGTTTGGTGTGTAACCTTTATCAAATGCCTTTCTCTTGTACTTAGAAATTCTAACACGATCACCAACCACAAATTTTGATTTACCAGGTTTTAAGTAAATCAAATCGCCATACAAATTAGACCAAACTTTACTTTTATTTTTCTTTTTACTTGCTTCAACAGGAGTCATTTTTATACTAGAATGTCTCGAATTATTGTAATCATTAACTAGTTTATCTAACTTATCCCAGTAAACAGTGTTATTATTCACAGTAAACATTTTCCACATTCTGTTTTTCATTGTTTTATTCCATCTCTCAACAACACTAGATTTTTCTTCGTTTTCAGTGTGATACAACCTAATTCCATCTCTTTTCAGAAAATCTTTGAAATGTTTACTGATAAACTCAGAACCTTTATCAGTCCATAACATTTGTGGTTTACGTTTACTTTTGAATATATCCTCAAATGCTTTACTAACAGTTTCAGTTTTCTTATCTTTTAATCCCCTAATCCATCCATACTTGCTAAACACATCTATAACCATTAGAAGATATTTTATCCCTTTATTCCACTTACTAAACTTTTGCATTTCAACCAAATCAGCAGCCCAGATATCATAAATCCCGTTTGAGATTACTGATCTCTTCTGAAAGTTTCTTGTGATTGGTTTGTGAAGTTCGTCGGCTAATTGTTGGTAATGGGTTCATGATAACCGTCACGAATATAGAGGCATTAAGTGACCACTAAGCCCACTATGAGAATGTTGATGTAATTGCTGTAGTTACTGTAGTTGGTGTAGTAGCTGTAGTTGGTGTAGTAGCAG